TACATTAAAACCAAACAAAAAACTTGAAACTAGAACTACGCGTCTCGTAGCTGCGCTCTCGCTCACAAACGACCGGACCGAGGAGAGTGAGAGATGTGTGTAGCGCTTTATAGCGTTGACCGGAGAAGCATCAGCAGCAGTTGCCTTTAACAACACAGAGTGAGAGAGCAAAAAAACGAAAGAAATTTTCCATCCGAAACTATTTTTCACCTTAAAAAAAGTGACCGCTTTGCCTTTGTTGCTACTATTTTGGCATCATTATAATAAATAGCCTTCATGTATGTATCACGTATGATGCGAATGGGTATGATGTTTCGTGGTTGTTATGTAGATGCGGTATTTGTTATCTAGCCGAAGGCTTTCTTCGATTCAAACTGACCGGGATTGAGTTGAGATGGTGTGAGTTGGGGTGTGTGGGTGCGGTAGAGATTTGCCGTACTAAAAAACATTAGGTAAAAATCTAGATCCACACCATAACAGCATCCATATAAGTTTCGGTCAAACGGACGAACGAGTGAATGTAAAAAAATCTCTTTTTCTCCGGTTCACGAAAATTGTTGAGTATATTTAATCGCTTGGCACACAGACAATCTTTGTTTGGTGCGTTTGAAATAAATTCAGTTGGGTCGTAGATGAACACGCGCCTCACACCATTGCTCGATTAGCCAGCCGAACAAGAAACAATCGCGCACATAAAACGCGCGCGGCCCATCACACCAATCATCGTATATATATATATATATATATATATATATATATATATATATATGTATGTATGGTGTCGCTGCCGCGCCTCCACCACCCAGTATATAAATGCGAATGTGCGATGTGCGTACACATTCAAAAGGAGATAAATGATTATATCACCCAATATGCCATCAAAACCGTTCAATAATATGTAAAGGAAGAAGAGAGCATTCGCTTTTGAATCCCAAAGGATACGCGATACGATATTGCTTGTACAATGTACACACACTGGACGACGACGACGACAACGCCGATGATGACAAAAGCAACGTATAACTTTGACAATGGCGCATTGAGCTAAAGGATTCTCTCGCACACACCGGGGACAATTGCAAAGCCAAAATTTACGCGTTCGCTACACGGCAAGTGTCTCGTACTTGCCTCACATCAAATGAATAAGTGATATGGCATTGCGTTTGTTAGAAGTTCACAGTTCGACGAACAGTTCAACTTCAATTTCCTACCTACATCTCGTCTGAATCGTCAAAACAAATGACCATTAGTTATAGATCGAAATGGAACGGTTTCGGAAATTTTGCCAGCGTTTCTTGCTCATTATTTCGCCTCTGAATTCCGAGTATTTTCGCGAACATCGACAAGGTATTCGGCCAATTCATGCAGTGAATTTACGTGCGACGACCATTAGTTAGCCGACAAGCGAGCGCACGGTACAGCGAGCAATCAGTCGAAATCCAAATTAAATTGAACATTGTTACTGCTCGCATGTTTCCGTGAATTACGGAACATGTGGAGAAGAATATCGCGAGAGGGTGTATTGATGATGGGCAATCTGTACGCCTTTGTCTCTCTGTTATCAGCGTCTAAACAAACGCTACATTCGATCGTAACAAACACCGAATCGCAGAAATAGCAGCGCTGCTGGAGAACAACAACGACAATGACGAAAAAAACAACGACCAAAGAATGGTTCGTGCTGAAAAAGGATATTGAGGTAAATCATACATATATCGATATGGTGGTGCCTGCAAACAACATATAGTAGACGTAGAATAAGTAGTGGACATTAGAAATAGCGGCTCGAAATATGTATTTGCATTATCTTTGCTGATGTTCTCTCCCTTTCGCTCGCTCGCTCGCTCGTTCGCTCACTTGCCCGGTACATAGGAGATTCAGGCGTCACGTATGTAACATATCAACTCGCTGCTTTACCAACAATAAACATACACATGAGCGCATCGTTTTTGTGTGTGAGAGATGGAAATCGAGTGTGGGGTAGCAGCAATAGGAATGGTAAGACAAACACGCATCAATACATGTGCAGCCAGAGACTAGATTGACAACACCAAAAAATTGCCACAATAAAACAAACGATTTGTTTCTTTTGTATTTTACAAAGAAAAAAAAAACTTATACATGATCAAAAAGTCATATACTCATAGTTTTTGTTTTTTTTCTGTGCTCCTCCGTACTAATTACAATCGACTACTGAGAATTTACGCATTTTAAGCCGGTCACATGAAACGGTTTGCTGTTTTAGGCGCTGTCGAACACACTAATGACTTCAGAAGCAGAGAGAACGGTTCAAAGTCCATCGTGTGTGTCGTATATATACTGTGTGTGAGCGATATTTGTACCCTACTCAAATGTGATGCTGTGTGTTGACCAGAGATGCCACGCTATGATATTATTTAAGAACCAAATGTGTGTTGTGTGTACATTGGTTCGCTTCCTCTGCATGAAACGTTACGTATACACATATGCATGTATATATATGGAACATTCTCTCTCTTGCTATAGCAACGACGAAAGCAGCTAAGGAGAGTTTCGCCGTTTTCGTGCCAATCGCAAGTTTACGGTCTTTGTGTTCGATAAATGAATCCATTTCTCGCTATGTACCACCATACCGTAATACACACCTAATAGATGGATATTTTGCATATGTAAATTCTCCACGTCGATTTCAGTCGAAGCTCCAACGTTGACCACTTCTACTTTTTGGGGTGCATATGAGCATTCGAGACCGTCCGATGAACGAAAAGATTGGTCATCTCGCGAAAGACACCTCGATGCGCACTCCATATATAAATTTATATACACACATCGGCGATTTGTTCTCTGCCTCTCCCACTCACATACTCTCGCCGAATTCGGTAAACTTTCTTCAAATCAAAGATCTTGTTCACATCGCCAACACTGACCAAGAGGAGAAAAACAAGGCATTCACAAGCCATCCAATACAACGCCATTCTCACATTTGCATAAAGAACCAACGAAAACTGATGCATTCACCGATTTTCTGTCTCAATTTGCAAGAAGAAAAAAATTGCGAAAAATGGAGCAAAAATTACTTGCACTTTTTCCAATTTCTTATGATGAAAAATCATCTTTTCGACTAAATTATTTGAATTTGATGTTTGTAAATATTTTCAACTTTCAATGCCTATGTTCATCTCAATAAATTTTCAAGTGATAATGAAAAACTTTTCATTGCCCATACTTGAAATTGATTGTTCCGACTGACGACGAACCCGAAGTATTGAAAGCATAAATTGTTAAATTACATGTTCATTTTAACAGCTGTGGGTGATATAAATGCCAGATTTTTTTTCGATAAATGGAGTTATTTTCAATGGAGCAAAAAAACAATCTCTGGATATGAAGATGTCTTTTCTTAACGAAATTTAGTTGATGGCCGACTTTGTAATTATTCTCAAATAAAAACTTCAATTCTATGGAAAGTAAGTTTCAGAGGATTAAAAAAACGTTTTTTTAAATTGTGTGATGATATTTTTTGTCCACTTTTTTTCATGAAGATTTCGCGCAAATTGAATTCGGCGACTCATACGCATATTCGTTTCGACGTAGGAATATTAAACATACGCACATTGGTTGTCATCTAAACCACCCCGATTATGACGATGCTGCTCTGTTACATACATCGAGTAAATGGTCAACGTCGTCGATTTACCGCGAATTTCAAAGACATTTACATGTTTGGCTTATGTGCGTATCCGTATATGTGTGTTGGTGTTAGTGTGATGTCCAAGTAGCGTTGGATGGAATATGTGTAGTATCGCAACAGATATAGTACAGAATGCGGCTAGAAAACTCTCTTAAGATAAGCTTTTGTAGTGTTCGGACTTGGAAAAACATAAAAAGCAACAATAACACATCAACAGCAGCAGCAGCAGCAGCGGTGGCGGTGGATCTCTTATGTCCATCGAAGGCAAAACTTAGCGATGAAACTACCACTCGCAGCGGCCGTTCGTCCGTGTGTAGTGAGAAGGAGAGTGGTGTGTGCTATGTGCTGCACACATCCCGCGTGCTCTTGTTTCAAACCGTCAAGCCATGTGAAGACGACGGCCGAAGCAACACCGAGAAAACGGAGAATATTACTGAAAATAGAGGAGAGAGCAAGAGAATTCGCATATCTCGTCGTTCGCTTGTGTCCATATCAACGCGTCGACGATGGCTAAAGGATACTATTTAGAATATTTGTAGTAGCATCGTATGTAGCGATTTTCTCATAATAAACAAACTTGGCTGTTCGGCGAGTGCTCGATTCGATCTATGGTGTTTTCTATACGTGTCGGTCGGTCGGTTGGTTGTCGTGTGAGTTCTTTCATTTCCACTACTCACATGTTTCTGGTGTCGTTACGTTGGCTCTCGCTCACTCCAACTACTTTCAAATGTAGCTGAAACGGTCGGATGGTCCGTCGGTTGGTCGGTCGGTCGGTTTTGTGCTGTTGTGTATAGCACGCATAGCCAATGTAGCCCATACATAACGTACACATAATAATCTTCGGGAATGGACAGAGCAAGAAAGGGATGGAGAAGTGCATGTGTGTATTCGTTTTTCGTTTTTTTCCTTTTTCGCCTTTTGTTTTCGTAATACGTTTCTCACAGCGGCTGCTTCGGAACATATATGTAACATCGTTAAGTTTGTGCGTAGCGAATAGCTAGAGGAATGGAATTGGCGAAATGGTGATTCTTGAGTACACACGGTGGGCCCCGCTTCGCCGATACGATATATCGTACATGTATGTTGTGTTCGTACGTGTGTGTGTGTGTCTCTCTCTCTCTTTTTCCGTGTGTGTGCGAAAGATAGGGAGTGAGCGAGCGAGCGAACGAGTGAGTTTATAATGAAATTCGCTGGTTGTGTTTTGTAATAACAGAAAACACATAAGGAACGGCGCAAAACAGCACCAGCACCAGCATTAGCGACAATACCGAATATCAGCATCGAACCAACTATTTATTCACGTATTATTATTCGAAAAGGACATACATGCATTTGGAGTGTCCGGTAACGCATGTGAACTTATCGGAACATCTATCGTCTTCTTCGCGACAGAGAAAGTCGTTCTCTTGCTCCATCATCACGAACACCTTTTGACTTGATGAATTTTTTCGCGTCGTCTTTGCTTATCAACATCATCATCCAACGACATTCGGTTTTTTTTTTTTAGTGAAATTATTTCCATGAAAAAATTGCAAATAAAAACCAAAATAAATTCTATCAAATCAAATCAATTTAAAATTCGCGCGGTTGAAGATAAATAATAAAAAAAAATTAAATCTCAACCAATTTCATCGGTTTATCGCGACGCAAATAAAACGGTCGGTTTTCAATGACTGATTGATTGTTGTGCGAGAATACGTTTGAAAAAAGTCGCTTATTAGTCTGTTAACACATGTGATTCAAGACACAATTCACCCGAAAAAAAAAACTCCTTTATTTAATTGGCGATCAAAATGTGTTCGCGTTTGTGTGGAAATATCGGAATGAGTGGATAAAAACAGAAACTTGACATTTTCTCAAAAGAACGAAAAAAAAACTAAAAGTATATCGATCAAGTGAAAGAGCGAAACAAAAATCAACGGTTAAACGAAAGAAAAAATTCAAACCATAAAATTGCGTGCATCATCGCTTTTAAAGCGAATTTAAAAAAAAACAACAACACAATTCGGACAAAGTAAGCGAAACAACGTTCGAGGTATTCAGCAAAACAAACAAAAAACCGTCATCGCTTTGCGTGAAGTATTTTTATTTTTCGCATCACACACAATCAATGTATTTTGATCACTTGACGCGATTCTGGTCATTCAGACTCGGTTTTTATGATAAAAATTAATTCAATGCAATACGAGAGATAACCAGAGATAAGGCAGACAATAATAAATAATAATCATTTGCGGTCGATTTGAGCGAGCGACAGCAGCACCAGCAATAACAGCGAAACAAGCGTTATCAATACAAAAGTCAAAGAGAGATAAATTACAAAGCCGAACGTGTCGATCTCGTTTGAAAAATCTTTTGTAGCGACAATTACATGCTTCCATGCAGTCAAGTGTGACTTCAGCAGCGTAATCCCAATTCGTCGTCAGGCGCGCGCAAAAAAAATACATCAACAACGGCAACAGCACACAACCGAGAGTGAAGAAACAAAGGCGATTTTTCATTTAAGCATCGCATTAGCACATGCAAATCCATTATTGCATTTTCTTTTTAGGAGTTGTTTGGTTGCATTCTCACTGACGTGAAGTCACATTCGCTCGAAGTCAGTCTTGTGTGCCCCGAAGAGTGCTTGTTTTGTGTGTACGCGCGAGCGCGCTTCTTCTGCATGCGTGTGTATATTTGTGCGTTACGCGTTTGCACTCACAGCCATTCTCATACCTCGTACGGACCATAAGTTCGGCATTTGTCTTCGTGCGTGCAATATAAATAATAACGTCGTAGCCGCCGTCTCACGTTGTACGCTGTGAGACTCATCGCAGTAAGAGAAGAGCATACACAGTGCGTTTGTGTTTTTCGGTTCGGGGTTCGGGGATTCGCATTTCACTGTGGATGTTTGGACGTTTTAGGCGAAGGAACGGAAGAAAGAAAGAGTGAACGAACGACAGAGGGACAACGCAAGCGGGCGAGAGAGAGACAGAGAGAGAGAGAGAACGCAACACAGCAGCATACGAACCAAAACAATCGTCATTTGTTATTGCTACTACCGCTTATTTCGGTGTGCTGTGTGCTTATAACAATACCATTCGTCTGATCGTCAACGTCGCGCTGTTAGATTTTGTCGTGCCGAAATTTTTGCTCGTGTCGTCGTGGTTCTCTTGTACAGACTTTTTTTTCATTTCGGCGGTGCTCATTAAGTAGAAAGTGTGTGACGGTGGAACGGGGTTGATGCTAAACATAACTCAGTGCACACTAGCCTATTTGAACACGAGCTAATTTAATTCGCCTCTCTGCGACACAAACAGAAAACGGTTATTTCGCATTTTTGTTTTTCTTCGCTTCAAATGCAAACAATCAGTCGAAGCAAGCAGATCGAAAAAGGACTTGATGGAATTGAATTATTGTAGAAGAAAAAAACTGTGAAAATAATAATAAATACTAAACAATTTAAAACCAGTGCAAAATAAGAACAATTTATTTGAGAGCAAAAAAAGAGAAAATAAATTGACTTTTCAAAATATTTCCACACAAGTAATAACGTGACTTAAAAATCAGTGAAACCAATTTTTTTCACGTCAGTTTGGTGATCAGTTCGTTTCGTTGAAATTGATGTTGACTCAATCACAAGTCATTTAGTGAGCAAATTCCTCTTTTTTTCGCCGGAACCGACAACGATCATAAAGTCAAACCAATGATGGATTTATACAAAGTGTAAGTACCAATCAATTTTTTCGCAATTCTCCGTTTACATTATTATTCTTCGCTGGGAAGTTATTTATCAAGCGAGTTGTGAGTTATTTTATCGCGACAATCGTATGACTTTGAATTATCACATAACGGTTATGTTTCGGTTTTAGTGTGAGAGACAATGTCGATGTATGGTGATTGTTACGTTTATTTCTTTTGTTGCAATATTTGTGGAAAATTTTTATGCCAAATATCTAGTCTTTGATCACATCTAACGAGAGAAAAAAAAGTCCAAAAAACATTCTTCCGTAAAGTGTATAATTTCTACTCAGTTTTAAATGATTTTAAGAATTGAGTGTTTTCGGCGAAAAAAAGTCGCATTTTTTTCATCTCAATTTGGCATGGTTTTTCTACGGCATCCATTTTAATCTCTTTTCTAAGTAAATCCTTCATTCCGAAATGCTCATCCGACAGAGAGAAAAAAGGATCATAAAATCGTTGATCTACACATATTCCACACAGACGCACTTCGAAAGTGGAAAGCGAAAAAAAAAAACGAACCGAAAAGCAACTAGTGAGAATGTGCGTTGTTTTTTGTTCACATCGACCAACCACCAAACAAATGTGAATGAAGTACAAACATCCGACCGAAATCGAGAGACTCATTCGATTGCATGCACAAAAGCAGCAGCAGCAACAGCAAAAAAAACGAAGTCTATTGAATGCGCGCTGCAACAATGCAAAACTGCATTGGAAATTTCATGAAAATTACATTCAACGAAAATGTGGTGAAACGGAAAAAGTGGCAAATTCCAAGAATTTCAATATTGTATGTGTATGTTGTTTTTTGTCGGGAGGGCAGGTAGAAAATCTATCGATTGAGTTTGAACTGAAAACGACGAAAATGACACCAAAAAGTCGGCCGCAATGAAGATGAGAGAATAGGCGAAAAAAAGTATAATACAACATCATAAAGTACACACTCACACACACGCACATAAATATTTTGTTGGGATTTAGAAATGTAACATGAACTGACGACGAACATGAACAGTTCGCGATGCATTCTGTCTCAATGCGAATGGCCAATAATAATAATAATGACAACAACAATAACAACAGCACCAACCGTTTTCGGTTGGGTATTATTGTGGTGCCGAAAATGTTGAAATCGTCGCATGGAATATTGTTGCTGCTTGATAATGATTTAATTGTTGGCGACTCGCTCAAGTCGTTAGTGGAAATCACACGACACCGCACATTAAATAGAAGCAACAGCACAAAAATTATCACATTGCAAATACCACACGCTCTCTCACTCACTCACTCGCTCACCCAGTACAGTAGTTCAAAATGGCTCAACTCGGCTGTCGGCTCTTGCCTCTTGCTAAACACATATTCGGTGTGAGTGAGTGAGGAAGACAAAAGACACTTTTCAAAACACACACTGAAAAAACGGTGGTTGCTACAATTCAACGGTGTGCGATTAACCATTTTAGCCGTTAACATACAACAATGTTTCGCTTGTTCATTTCTATTCTTTACCATTTCTCTGTCTCTTTTTTTCACAATTTCTTTCTCTAATCTTTGTTGTGTGTTTGCTGCTGATGGTTTTGCTCTTTGTCTTTTTTTCGCTCTCTATCTCCCATTTTTCCTCGAAAATCCCGATAATTGCATTTCGAATGTGAGACTCAGGCAAAAATAAACAGGCGACACTCTTTAACACACACAGACACACATACAAACACATTCACATGAGATGTGCAAGATGAATGAAATTGCCCATAAATAGGAAAAAAGCAATACGGAATAGAGAAAATCGGTCTAATGTTTGCTAGGAAAAAGGCATAAAATAAATATCATGAAAGCCAAATGCATGCGTATGCGCGAGCGAGCAAGCGAACAAATAAGCAAACGACCCATTGTCAATACTCTTCGAAAAATCATCAAAAAAACACACGCACCAACAACGAAATGATGACGGTGATAATAAATGGCTAAGCACTAGCACATACGTGTACACAGGCCGAAATTAGTATAAATGTAAATGGGCCAGGCAAACGATGCAAATAATATTTGCTGAGCATTTCTCCTCACTCTCTTGTTGCTGTTGTTTTTTATTGTGAGCTTCTCTCTTCCTTTTTCTATCTCAAAACCGCACATAGTTTTTCGACAGTCACAGGCTACATATTTACGCATCCGAACAGCATAAAAAAGCGGGAATATCGACGACCAACGGCTCGCATTATCATAATTCCGTTTATTTATTTCTTTATTCGTTGTTTGTTGCTGTTGTTGGGTGCACGTCGCTCATTTTTTCTCACACGATCGAAAAACTCGAGGCACCCAAAAAGTACACCGTCGGCTATTTGGCTACGCTCATCACCCAGCATTATTATATCGCATACAAATAAACTGCGCTGCAAAAATGCACGAAACTGTATTTGAGCGAGTTTTTTTTGTTACTGTTTGCGAAGGGCGATTTTTTTTCGTTGCGTTTTCGCAACAACAAAAAAGCGAAATATTTTATTTATTATTCGGGGATTTTTTTCCATTTTTTTCCTTCTGCATTGTGCGGATTTTTTTTTTCGTTCGCTTACTGCTATATCGCGTTTCGTAATTTGTTTTATGTGGAATCGATTGGCGAACGCGAGCAAAAAAAAATGTGCACAGCCTGTTGTTTGCGATTCGATGGAGTAGAAAATGTGTGGTGTTGGTCGATTTCTGCATAAATTTTGGCCCGTTGACAAAGGCAACTCGAGAGAATGTGTATTCCAATTCGCTTCGAGCCGAAGAGGGTTGTGATTCGTTATATTGCACGACTGTGTGACCATTTCAATTGCATCAAATTCGACAGATGAGAGGGTATCGACGACAATTTCCACTACGTCGACCGAACAATTTTCTCTGCATTTTGGCCATTTTCTAAACTAATACCTTTTAATCGCATAAATTCAGAGCGATGCGGAAAAAAAATAAACAGTCGAATATCGTTGTTCCTCTATTGAAAGTGAAATGCAGTTTTTTGGCGGTGGCAATTCATTTCGTAAAACCCATAAAATCCCATTCAGAATTGCCCGTTGCCGCCGCCATCGTCGTCGTCGTCGTCGTCGTCGTCGAAAAATCGATTAATGCCAATTGGCAAAGACGAAACACACCGATCACAAACGATGCAAGTTAATGTGTCAGCTAATGGATGATTGTCGCTGAAAATGTGACCAAATTTCACAAATCACCCGACACACGGAAAGGGAGTGGAGAGTCGGTTGGTCGGTCGGTCGGTTGGTTGGCACGGTACTTTTGCGAATGAATCGATTTGGACATCGGCCGAACGAAAAAAAAACGGTTTAATGTTTTTAAAACGTGAAAACGTCACGAAACATGTGGCCCAGATCAAGGTTTCGACAACGTTCAAAAATAACGACAGAAAAATGATATTTGTATAGCAACGACAATGAGAAATTAATGCTAATTGTATGAAATGAACTAACGGCCACCTGTTGAACCGCAATTTTTCTTTTGTGCACTGCAGTAGCGCAATTCATTTTTATTTAAATGCGTGTATTCGCCTTCTGTGCTGTCGGTGCTCTCGGGAGCACCCGAAAAAAAACCACACACACACACACCAAACCTACGCTTACGGAACCGCAAGTCTTGAAAAGAGACAGGGAGCAAGCAAAAGACAGAAAAGCAAAAAGAAAAAAAAAGAAACGCGTTTACCAACTCCAATCAAATGAGGCAAAATGCAAACGAAGACCTTTGGTTCATTTCGGTTTTATTATTTCGCTGCGTTCGCATTAAACTACAACAATTTATCGATGCACACAGTGTGCTGTTGTGTTGTTTTTTTTTTGTCAATTTGTTTTTATTCCGGTCAAAAAAATATGTCAAAAATATGGTATGAAGGAAACGTTTTAAAAGCGAGAATATGTAAATAATATTCCACCATCAGCAACAACGTCGTCGTCATCGACGCTGATATATTGGGAATGGGAGAAGATGGCAATTAAAAAAAAAAGAACAACACTTGAGTAAATCGCATGTGTGGATGGACAAATGGAATGCATCGCGCGAGCCTTCAAGTCATATATATCGAATTCGCACCAGCATTATGTCGTGTGTTTCAAGAAATGCACGCAAATCGAAAGAGAAAAAAACACACAAAATAAACCGAAAATATTGAGTGTGTGTATGACTTGATTCTCTTTAGAAATTGCGAAATATGTATGCATTTAAATATGTCGATGGCATGCATTGCATATGGCTAGCGAGCGCCGCCAACAAATTACACCGATTCACCGAAAGAAAAGAAGCAGACAAAAATGAAACATATTGATGATATTTTCTTGTCAAACATTCGGACGGGTTGGGTTTTTTTCCTTCTTCTGAGGCCGTTTTTTGCCATTTTACCAATGCAATCGAATTTAAATTTAATAATAATTACTCGTTTATTACTCTGCTACTGCTATTGTTATTTGAGGCTTAGCCACTGTTTGTATGTGTGCGCGCGCTCGCTTGCATCTCGATCGTTACCGCACCAATTCGTTAATCACACACACGCAGATACAGAAACTAAAAAAAAGCGGAAAAGTGTTGGTTTAATATTATTACCGTTGTTTGCTCGAATTGTGTGCACTTTGTTGATCAAATTGCGAATGTGCACAATTATATGGTTGGAAAAGAAAACAACAACAGCCAAAAAAGATATGTAATTCCAAGAGAAGATCAAGAACGATATTCAACGTGGCAAACAATTCAATTTTTTCGTTAATTCGCTTTCCGATTATCATTATTATCTCCTCGCGTAATATATTTTTTTTCCTTTCCGTTTGAGCAGCGAACAAAAAGGGGGGGAGATGTTTCAAGAATAACGTTGCAAAAAAAAAGAGAGAAACAATGCGCTGAGAACGTCGATTTTCCATGTGCTGTTTTGTACTTGCGAAATGTAATCTGAATAATTTCGGTCGATGGAATGAAACAGCGGTGGCTCAAGCAGTCATCACTAGCCGCATGTCATTAGCCTT